TTAATATTAGGGAGTTTCAAGTATTTGGACTTAAGTTAAACATCAAAATTCTGATTAGGTTATAGATAAAGCTTTATTGTTGCAAAGAATTTTTACTTCCATTTATGAATTGGTAAATGTTAATTTATGTACATCTGCGAATATTTTTTTTAAACAAGATATGATATCTTATGATTTCACTACAATTCCTAATTTTCACCTATACTTGTCTGGTTTAAATGTAGTGAATCAGAAGTTGATGCAATAATATATTTTGTACTTCTAATATGTCAATGAACTATGCTATGCTAGTACATTGATATTATATGAACTTGTCTGATATTCAGAAAGGGTTGCTAAACCAAGCATAGACTTATTCTGAGGACATATAGACTGGTATTAATAAAGTTATTTCAGTTATTTCCTTGATAAATCCTAAAATACCTATCATACCTTGTGCATTTTCATACATATAAATGTCAGAAGTTGTACAAGTATAATGTGTGCATTTCTATTCATTCATAAATGCAACATCAGTTATAGAATCGTAAAAAACAGTTATATGATTTCTAGTATAAGGAAAACTCGGAGGTTAGAAGTAAAGAAATTTAAAGGGGCATTGACATTCACTACTAGGGGAAAGTGACCAACGATCAACACTAAGTCAATTGTACTAATTGTTTGGGCTTGTTGGACTATGGAAAGAAATAAGATGTGAATCAAATGTTACTACAAAATCATCAAGTGTGCTTAAACTTATGCCAATTGTAACCTTGGTACTTGCACTTTATAAATATGTATATGTGCCACAGTTCCTTTTTGTTTCATTGTGTAAAATATTTGATACAAGTCAAATAGGTGCAGTTATGAATTAGTAAAATCATATTTTGATAAAGCCAATTATTGCTGTGATATTAAGAACTATACAGACTGTGTGCTAATACTAGAAAATGAATCTGGGTTTAAATTATATTCACAAACACATGTAGGTTTCCATGAATTTTAAAATTATTACCTGAACATGTTGAGGATTTCTTTAATATAAGTAAAGAAAAAAACCTTGGTCTTAAAAAAAAAACTGTACAAAACAATATCATATAAATGTTTGATGAAAAACTGAACGCTGAAATCTGTAAGTTGTCTATAACATTGGGCCAATATTGGGCCTGTAGAACTGTGTATAGGACCAGAGCTTATAAATATACCTGTAATCAATGAGTCTGGCAGTCGCCTGGACTCTGGCAGGCAGTGCTACTGCTGCTGTCGTAGGATTATAACAGGTGCTTGCTGGAGTGGATATATATTACACACCAGGTAAGATGTCTATGACTAAGTTACGTACAGCCTGGGATCAAGGAAATGACCATCTTAATTAGTTGTATAGTCAAGTTACAATAAGGTATTCACTGGTTGATTAATAATTTCACTGACCACAATGTTTTTATCTATAAAAAGATTGCCCTATCATGTTTTTAAACTTTTTGATATGTTTAAGAATCGGTGCTTTATTTCCCATTAAACTATTATAGATTTGAGTAGATTGTTTATTGAAACTGTTTTCATTAAATAAATAGCATTGATCAAGAAAAAAGAATGCATCTGTCAGCTGTTCAATTCAACCTACAGGGATTTCCAATTGTGTTTCTATTGTGATGATATATAGATTTTATTTAAATGCTTCTATTTACGTTGGTTCATTCTTCCTATGGATTTATTTCTATCAAAAGTATTTCAGTAGACTTATTATGTAATGGATTTCAATTGATTTTACTGGAGAGAAAAAAAAATGAAATTATGAAATGATTCAGAGGTTGTGAGAGAATTGTCTATGAAGTGTATTGGGTACATGTGCTATTGGCATTTTATTCAGACAGTAATGCATTGATGCTCAATATTTTTATCAGAATTAATTCTTCTTAAGAAAACTGTTACTGATCAAAATGATCAGAATAGAATTTTGAATCGGTTTCACTCCACAAACCTATACCTAACATCCACTATTTGAAGAAATTCTAAGCCCATGCACTGCCAGAGTTCTCTAATACCACACCTCTGGGTTACACAGAGCCCCATGGGTAGTGTGAGCCTAAATTAGTTTTATCAGATTCAAACTTTTTTATTCTGTCCATTTCTCAACCTTCTTCTGAGCCTAAATTAGTTTTATCAGATTCAAACTTTTTTGTTCTGTCCATTTCTCAACCTTCTGATGAGCATATTTGTATTCTTAAAAACATTTTAACAGTCAAATTCTCAGCTAAATCAAGGGGAACCAAAGTCTTTATCAAGGATCCAATTCTAGGGAATCATGAAAAAAACAAAATATTGAAGTATTATTATAATATATATTGAATGACACTATTTTCATTTTAAAAAGTGAGTTTATTTTTTAAAATTTTAAACACGGATCTTTTAGATTCAAGCAAAATAAATAAAATTGAATTAAGATTTTCTACGATTAAAGTCATAAAAAAATGTGGTGACTTTGAATTGACTGTTAACCAAACCTTAAGGCAGGTGACACTTAATATTTTTCACTTTCCAGTTTCCACACATGAAATACTAGAAGTGTGAATGTGAGTATTTGAGTATCTTTTTTGGATGTTAGAAACATGACATACATGTGGCAAGACTCTAACTGTAATAGTACTGGATTCATGGTGATAAAAAATATGGTCTGATAATACTTTATACAAATAAGGAGAATCCTTTTTAAAAACAACAAAACAACAAAAAACAAAAAAGTGTGTGAATTGAGGATCTAGGTTATTGATTACTAAGCTCATTAGTAAAACCCGACGGGAGATTTTTTTTTAAAAAATATATTGAGTCCTATAGATCAGTTATAAAGACAGGTACTGTGAGCAATTCTCCATTGTGAATTTATTTTTGAGATATTGAGTCCTATGGCTCAGTAGGAAAGCTTAGAAGACATGTGAGTTCCTCCATTGTGAGTTTTTTTGTTGAGATATTGAGTCCTTTAGATCAGTAGGACAGGTGCTCTGTGCGATCCTCCATTGTGACTTTTTTTTGAGATATTGAGTCCTATAGATCAGTAGGACAGGTGTTGTGTGAGATCCTCCATTGTGACTTTTTTGAGATTTTGAGTCCTATAGATCAGTAGGACAGGTGCTGTGTGCGATCCTCCTTTGTGACTTTTTTGAGATATTGAGTCCTAGAGATCAGTAGGACAGGTGCTGTGTGCGATCCTCCATTGTGACTTTTTTGAGATATTGAGTCCTATAGATCAGTAGGACAGGTGCTGTGTGCGATCCTCCATTTTGACTTTTTTGAGATATTGAGATATTGAGTCCTAGAGATCAGTAGGACAGGTGCTGTGTGCGATCCTCCATTGTGACTTTTTTTGAGATATTGAGTCCTATAGATCAGTAGGACAGGTGCTGTGTGAGATCCTCCATTGTGACTTTTTGAGTCCTAGAGATCAGTAGGACAGGTGCTGTATGAGATCCTCCATTGTGACTTTTTGTTGAGATATTGAGTCCTAGAGATCAGTAGGACAGGTGCTGTGTGCGATCCTCCATTGTGACTTTTTTGAGATATTGAGTCCTAGAGATCAGTAGGACAGGTGCTGTGTGAGATCCTCCATTGTGACTTTTTTGAGATATTGAGATATTGAGTCCTAGAGATCAGTAGGACAGGTGCTGTATGCGATCCTCCATTGTGACTTTTTTGAAATATTGAGTCCTATAGATCAGTAGGACAGGTGCTGTGTGCGATCCTCCATTGTGACTTTTTTGAGATATTGAGTCCTATAGATCAGTAGGACAGGTGCCGACTGTGATCCTCCATTGTGACTTTGACTGCTATGAGGAAGTATCAGTGTAAGCTGTCAGGAGTTCTGTGCTGGATTGGATTGTTCTGATTACTTTATGGTGTTCCCTTGTAATTCTAGGATGTCCTCCAGAGACGAGTGAGAAAGCTTTAGCCATGGATTGCTCCGGGACACAGAGACACTTCATCATGTCTTATATTTGTTATTAGGCAGCATGTGTTATAATTAGGGATATTTAAAACACAGCAGTTGACAGTGTGTTGTACATGGGTTGTCTTCAGTGCTACCTCCATGGCAACAGTAGAGGAAGCAGTCACTGGGCTGGAGTTTCCATGTGCTTTTATTTCCATGCATGCACGACTGATAGTCCCAATAACTGGGTTAACAAGCCCTCAGAAGAGACATTGATGTGTAGATTATAAAGAGAATGTTATTAATGATTATGAAGTGATTTACAAAAAAGCTGTTTTGCTCTTTTAAAAGAGGATATTCAAGAAATGAACTGTCATTTATAGTCCATAGATGTCGATTCATTTATTTTGATAAAAAATAAAATAGATAGCTTTTGATGTATAAAAAGTTAATAATAAGAGAAATCATTGATTATGTATTTAAATAGATATTGTGTTCAAAGCTCTTGTGTATAATTAGAATTGATATATGGAACTTCCTCCCTCCTGTAAGTGATTTGTGGTTGGCGATTTCCTCGAGAGTTTGCGGTTTGACACATTGTGTGGGAGTAATTTGAAAATTTGGTATGTTAACATTGACTATACAAAAACAAATCTCTGATAGATCTACAAAAGTTCTACAGAAAGCCTGCTTATTGAATAGAAGGTTGATTGAGAAGATAAAATTAATTATCTTGGTGGTTTATTTTGTCAGTAATCACTTCTGTCATTTTCTAAAGAGGTTTTTATAGTGAGCACAAAGTATTCTAAGAAATGCTGCAGCAACAAAAGAAAGCAAAAAGCTATAGAATAATACCTTCATTTACATGTGAAAAAAGTCCTATAATGATGCATGACAGTTGTCTTTCATTTTCCAGGACAGATTTATATACTTTGCTATAATAAAATTTATGGAAGTGTAAAAAGAGGGGTATGCATATGAGCACATTATTTAAAATGACCCCCCTCTCTCTGCCTTCTCACCCACCCAAAATAAAGAAAATAAAATCATTGTTATGATGATAGTCCACCCTTGAACTGTTGATATATTCTGATTGTAGGATCTCCATATGACGATGGCCACTGAGTCACTTCAGCCACAAGATTCGCGCGGCAGTGGCATCAAAGGGGCCGTCCTGTGTAAGCAGTCGGAGATAGAAGAAGATGAGCAGGATACCAGTCCAGGATCGGACCAGTCAGACGCTACCATCACAGCCAGCGGTAAGTTTTACCATAATCGGCACTGGTATGTCTTAAAGTTCCGTTACATTAATGGGAATGGAGTGGGGGGGGTCTAAACACTGTAAGCATGGGAGGGTTATATGGTTAAGGTAGATTAGTTCAAATTGGTTCATCTTTCTTAATTATAAAAATTTTAAAAATGTTCAATTTTTCCAATATGAGATATAGAATTCGGGGGGAAAAAAAATTATTGAAATTTCAATATATATCTGACATAATATTACTTCAAAAATTGATATTATCTCTCTCTGAAAATGTAGCTTGAAATTTTTCAAGTAATCAGACATTTATATCTAAAAAGGATTCACAACATCTTAATTTGTTTAAAATAAAAGAAAAAGTAATGGAATTTATAACATTTGTTCAGTATGAAATCATTTTGTCTAATCATAAAATTGTCTCTTTGTCATTTAACTTTGCACTTTTAACATGTTTAATTCTTATTTTGTCCTCACTCTTAGAAGGACATTATTGATATAACATGTTCATTTTCCAGTTAATAGGATATTTAAAGTTGATCACATATTAAAAAGAATTTTTGAATGCTTTGTATTTCTAGTTCTAAACCAATGTGATAGTCATGTCAGACTGAACATTTTAAGAAATTTTCCTTCTGTTGTTAGAACATAGTGTTTCTCAATTATCTTATATTTTAGGAGGAAATTTCAAATTAAAAATTGAGTGAATGCACACTTAATTGTCATATTTTAGGAAAAAAAGTACATTTTTCCTGTAACGCTGGCCTTTATCAGATATATGACTATGTCATTATCTGTAACAAGGCTCTATTTTTTTCCTCACCCTCATAAAAGTTTCTGTTCTTATTAGATCTTACGGGGTTGGAATCGCTTCTAAGAAACAGATAATTGCTTCTCTGGAAGATTTATGCTTCATGTTAGGCCATTTATGCCTAACAAAGGTTATTTGGGGAAAATTATGCATTGTTTATGCCTCTTTATATTTTTCATCAAAATATCAGAACAATCAGAATCCATATTATGAAATTCTTAATTTTATTGGATCATGATTCACAGACAAGGATGTGCAAGGCCAAGGTGATAACGCTCCTGAGATTGTCCAATCAGATGTCAGCATTTCAGAGGAGCCAAATTTGTCGACCATTCAGGTAATTGCATTTTCAGCATAAATGTTAGCATAATTTGAGCATTATGTCTGAAATGAAGTTCATTTCAGTGAGAATACATTATGAGACGATTGATTCTTCTTTAAACACTTAGCTAACATACTGCAATTCTACATTGAGGAAGTGTTAAACAATGTTGATGAGAACACTTCTCAGAATGACAGGAAGCAATGAATGCTTAGAATCTAGAAAAATAACACTACTTACACTAGTAACAGGTATGCATATTTATGTAGATTGTTGGTTCATTTTGTAGAATGGAACTCAAAAACTGAAACAGCTAAAGAGATCAGGGAAAGCGTTTGAGGAGTCGCCTTCGCCTGATCCCCACATGCTGACCCCAGAGTCCAACTCAAATGGTCTGACCTCATTAAATCATTCCCAGGTAAGAATCCAGCTCAAACGGTCTGACCTCATTAAATCTTTCCCAGGTAAGTCAGAGTCAAGGTCAAACCATCTGACCTCATTAAATCATTCTCAGGTAAGAATCCAACTGAAACTGCCTGAGCTCATTAAATCATTCCCAGGTAAGAATCCAACTGAAACTGCCTGAGCTCATTAAATAATTCCCAGGTAAGAATCCAACTCAATTGGTCTGACCTCATTAAATCATTCCCAGGTAAGTCCTAGTCCAGCTCGAATGGTCTGAGCTAATTAAATCATTCCCAGGTAAGAATCCAACTCAAACGGTCTGACCTCATTAAATCATTCCCAAGTAAGAGTCCAGCTGAAAGGGTCTGAGCTCATTAAATCATTCCAAGGTAAGTCCAAGTCCAGCTCAAACGGTCTGAGCTCATTAAATTATTCCAAGGTAAGTCCAAGTCCAGCTCAAATGGTCTGAGCTCATTAAATCATTCCCAGGTAAGAATCCAACTCAAACGGTCTGGCCTCATTAAATCATTCCCAGGTAAGTCCAAGTCCAGTCAAACAGTCTGACCTCATTAAATCATTCCCAGGTAAGTCTGAGTCCAACTCAAATGGTCTGACCTCATTAAATCATTCCCAGGTAAGTGCGAGTCCATATCAAATGGTCTGACCTCATTAAATCATTCCCAGGTAAGTGTGAGTCCATATCAAACGGTCTGACCTCATTAAATCATTCCCAGGTAAGTGCAAGTCCATATCAAATGGTCTGACCTCATTAAATCATTCCTAGGTAAGGAAACAAATTCTGCTTCAGCGATGTAATCCCATGTACCGGTAAGGCATTCTACTCTGCTTCAGCAATTTATTCCCAGGTAGGATTTTGAGTGGACTTCTTATCGAATAAAGAACTACTTTAGTAAGTAATGTAAGATGATGATGATGATGTAAGTTTTACTCTGTTATCAAAGTAAGTTTTCCAAAATTGAGGAAAGAACCTGCTAAAGTATTGCAATTTTAAAGCTGCATAGAATGAACAATAGTTTTAAAATAATCAATTTATTTCAAATGAGATGTTTCTCTTTTATTTGAAATACTGTAGATTCCTAAATATATGCGTGGAATTAATTATCTCATAATTTTCACGAGAAGCACCACACATGAAATTACTTGCCTTTATTTTTTTTTTACTAGAATCCATGTTAAATCTCTTGATCAACCATCAATTTGGGAAATTATAATTTTCGCGATTCAAAGTTGAAGAGCCCTTTCGTGATTATAAGTGCGAGAAAGATAAGGAATCTACAGTACATAAAACAAGTAAAGTTTGTAAGGGGAGGATTCAATATATTGTGTTAATTTTTCACAGATATGTTTTTATACCCCCCCGCAAACGAAGTTTTGGGGAGTATGTAGGAATCACCTTGTCCGTCTGTCTGTGCAAACGTGTCCGGTCCATATCTTTCTTACGGAGGGACATTAGAATCTACTACTCCACACAAAGATTGCCCATGACATAAGGGTGTGTGGTGACTTTGACCCAAGGTCATTTGGGGAAGTTCAAGGTCACTGGAAGAAAAAGTTCATAATTCGTGTCTGGTCCATATCTTTCTTATGGAAAAACTTGGTAGGTTCTCATTTCACATAAAGATTGCCCATGACCTAAGGGTGTGTCATGACCTTGACCCAAGGTCATTTGGGGAAGTTCAAGGTCACTGGAAGAAAAAGTTCATAATTCGTGTCCGGTCCATATCTTTCTTATGGATAAATTTGGTAGGGTCTCATTTCACGCAAAGATTGCCCATGACCTAAGGGTGTGTTATGACCTTGACCCAAGGTCATTTGGGGAACTTCAAGGTCACTGGAAGAAAATTTTCATAATTTGTGTCCTGTCCATATCTTTCTTATGGATAAGTTTGGTAGGTTCTCATTTCACACAAAGATTGCCCTTGACCCAAGGGTGTGTCATGACCTTGACCCAAGGTCATTTGGGGAAGTTCAAGGTCACTGGAAGAAAAATTTCATAATTCATGTCTGGTCCATATCTTTCTTATTGATAAACTTGGTAGGTTCTCATTTCACACAAAGATTGCCCATGACCCAAGGGTGTGTCATGACCTTGACAAAGGTCATTTGGGGAAGATCAAGGTCACTGGAAGAAAAATTTCATAATTCATGTGTGATACATATCTATTATTGAAAAACTTACTTCTGAAAAAACCCAGCGGGGGGTATTTTGTCCCGTTTGGACAGTTCTAGTTGAAACCTATAGCAGAAGAACCCAATGAAATGTGATTTTTAAAAGATGTCAGTATAATTCTGCTCTTGCTGAGTTTAGTATTACTCTTGTAATTTGAGCTACCTAGTACATGTTGAAAAAAGTTCACTTTAGTAGTATTAACCAATCATAAGCAAAATGAAGTTTGTGAAATGTAATACTTTAAAACCAACCTAGTTGTAACAGAACAATTTTGACCCTGTTGTCCTAATGAGTTTTGATCAGAGTGATGAACTCTCTTTTTGATCCTACCTTCTTTGATGGAAAATTGAGCTTCAAATATTTTTCAGTTACAAAGCTATATGGATTAGACAGGGATTTTTCCTTTTCAGGAAATGTGAACTTGGCTTTAAGTCAAGGTCAAGATACATTCTCAGATCAAAGGTTACTCTTGTCTTATTTAATCTCCTTTCTATTTATCTAAAGAGTTCTGAAAAAAATTAAATTTGTGGACAGAGATACAAAAATGATTAGAAATGTGTCTAGACAGACTCAAGAATGTGTCTCAGAGATCTTCCCAGATAGTCTGGGAGGCGTAAACAGGAATTCAAAATTATAAAACTGATTTATTGTGTATATATCTTTAATTTTGTTTTACAGTCATCATCCAGAGAGAGGCTACATAAATGTGGATCACAAGGCTCAGAAGCAGGATCTTCATGTCTGTCACGTGGTAAGTGTTTTCCCAAGGATTTATCGTCCTGTTGAGTTCTGTTGTGTCCTCTTTGTTTGGATTAAGTCAATTATCTAATAGGTACTGTGTGTGGTACTGTCTGTTGATGATTCTGTCTTGATCTTTCTGTTTGTGGTAAGCTAGGACATACAATGTGTGGTTTCTGTTGACTTTGTCTTGATCTTTCTGTATGTGGTAAGCTAGGACATACACTGTGTGGTTTCTGTTGACCTTGTCTTGATCTGTCTGTTTGTGGTAAGCTAGGACATACAATGTGTGGTTTCTGTTGACTTTGTCTTGATCTGTCTGTTTGTGGTAAGCTAGGACATACAATGTGTGGTTTCTGTTGACTTTGTCGTGTTCTTTCTGTTTGTGGTAAGCTAGGACATACAATGTGTGGTTTCTGTTGACTTTGTCTTGATCTGTCTGTTTGTGGTAAGCTAGGACATACAATGTGTGGTTTCTGTTGACTTTGTCATGATCTGTCTGTTTGTGGTAAGCTAAGACACTGTGTGGTTACTGTTGACTTTGTCTTGATCTGTCTGTTTGTGGTAAGCTAGGACATACAATGTGTGGTTTCTGTTGACTTTGTCTTGATCTGTCTGTTTGTGGTAAGCTAGGACATACAATGTGTGGTTTCTGTTGACTTTGTCTTGATCTGTCTGTTTGTGGTAAGCTAGGACATACAATTATGGTAAGAGAAAAGCAGTTGCTTATATGATGAATGCCATTCTGAATGCAGGATCTGTTTTATTAATTCTGTATTTTAAAAATAACATTGTCAGACTGATTTTCAGTCATTGGCATGGATAATTGAGCCTTATGAACATTTAGTTCTCCATTTTCAGCATCTAATCATTCTATAAATGGCAACTAGAAATTGTAGTTGCCTTTTGGTGATCTTTGGTTTTAAATACATTGTACACTCTATTCATATACCTAATAGTCTCCAAGCTGTACTTCTGAGAGAAACAATTTTCAGTATTAATCACAATTTTAATTATTTTTTTCTATCATTCTTCTGAAATTGCTAGACAGATGTCTGGCTAAGTAATATGAACTTGATTATTTAACGATATAAACATTTCATAATGAGCAAAATGTTAAGACTATAACCAAATCCTAAATGAAAAGAAGTATTTTGAACACAATGCCAGTTGATGCCATAATTGGATATCATAGATTTCGTATTGATTAATTTGAAGACTAACTGAATCTGAAAGGCCAAAACTTAAATTTCATTTATGTCATTTGCGTCTACTGCACACAGCTAATTGTATCCATTGAGTAGCTATGCAGAGCATTGAGTTTGTCAGTATTCACAAAGTTGACTCAATTTTAGCTTTGATACGCAAACTTTTACCACTTTAACTGTGGAACTGCATCGACCTTGTATGATCTTGACACATAGTGATTAGAGCAAAGTAACATTAAAACATGAACACTAAAGCAATTTTTTTTTGTTATACTTGGACATTAACTAGTCAGATCTGATTGGTTTAAAAGCATTTGATAAAAAGTCCTATTCATAAAGCACACCCTTGGTAATGCCATCCTTGTAATGTAAGTTAGGCTTAAGGGCCAGGTTTCATACATGAACAGGTTTAGGGTCAACATAAACCCAGAGATTAGACCCCCCCCCCTCCAAAAAAAAAAAAGAATTCGGAGTTCAGATGCACTGATATGCTTTCCAGTTCAGATGCACTAGTATGTTTTCAATGTGAAGTTTAATGCATGATTCCTTATCCTCAGTTCACTTTGTTTGATTAGTTGTATTAAGTGTTTAGATTTGTCGGTAAGATACCGTATAAGTAGAATTTTTAGCGAGGACTTGATTTTGGCATTATTAGCGAGGGTCCTGAGATCGCTAAAATTAAATATCGCTAAAAATTAATTGCATTTTATTTGTAATAGCTTCTTTAATAAGCGTTTAAAATCGCTAAAATTACCTCGCTAAAAATAAATTACCATTTTTTAAGGCAAAATCACTAAATTTGCGTCTCGCTAAAATTTCCACTTAATAATATACAGTATATTTAATGATGAGTCTTTCATTTGTTTCAGATTCGAGTTTTGAGTCTCCGTATAAAGATTCCACAGGGATCAATCTGGAAGACTTCATTCATAAAACGATAAACAAATCTCCCAAGGATAGAAACATGTTGCTGAAATTAGAAACGGATCTAATTAACTTTATCAATGAGCCCAAGTAAGTAGAACATGTTGCTGAAATTAGAAACGGATCTAATTAACTTTATCAATGAGCCCAAGTAAGTAGAAAATATTATCTAAGTTTGAGGTGCTTAGATGTTCTGAAATATTGGGAAAAGGAGCATAGATTGTTAGCTCAAATTTAAATGACACAAAATCTTGCACTGTTACTATTTTGCAAGCTTGGATAGTTAGTTTGGAATTGTTTTCTAGCAAGGTGTCGTGGAATTTAATTTCCGTTGTTTGGAAAGTAACCCTATTCTATATATAGACATATAAAATTTTTATTGGGAATTTAATTTTTTTTATAATTGTTCACAAGAAAATTACTAAAATGAAATCTCCAACAAGTATTTCTGCCTTTACGGTAGTGTATTTTCACAGAATTTCTCCTAACATTGACTTTTCTTTCTTTCAGACATCACTACTTAAAGTTTCCCCAGATGTCGTCCTATGACAGGATGTTAGTTCACAGAATAGCGGCTTACTTTGGACTCGACCATAATGTAGACCAGACAGGCAAATGTGTCATAGTGAACAAAACATCCAACAAGAGAATGTAAGTCTGTCTCCATCAGAAACAAATATGTACTGTAAATATGAATTTAACAAGGAATCAAAAAGCAGGGTATCCCCTTGCAAAAGAGTATATCTATAAATCAAGGCAGCATTAAACACCAATCCTGATGGAGATCATGTCACTTCTGTTTCACACAAGGACAAACTAACACACACACACACAGGCACATTACTATATCCTCTCCATCTCCATTGTGAGGGGATGTGTCTTTGTGAGCTATTCAGGTGAACTTAACTTGGCAACAAGACCCTGATATTGATTAGTTTCTGGAAAACGTTATAAAAATTTAGAATGCTGTTAACATGTTATCTGTAGTTCACTGCACAAATTCAAGGGGTATACATAACACATGAGCATTAATATTTTGCAATTCCTGTTTCACTTTATTGTACCAAGACTCTCTTTACTTGGGAATAGTAAGCAAAAGTGTTTAATCTTTGAAATAAATTTAGATGTGTACGGTAATTTCCAGCTAAGCCTGTGTGATCATAGCAGCTGGAATAACTGTTGGCTAGATATCGTAGGCAGAAGAGCTTATGTTTCTGATTGTATTTAGTATCCATCGATCAACCATTTGTCTGCCTGTCTGTAAACAATTTTTCAAAATGCTATACCCCTACTGTGTTGGTCCAATGTCAGTGGCAATTGTGCACAAATGCTCTATACTAAGATACATATTTCTACACAGTGTTGCCATGGTTACTATAAATAGAAGTTTCGGTAAAATTCTTTCAAAAAGCTACTCGTACTAAAGTTTTGGTTCAATTTCATTAAAGTCTTCAAGTTGTAACAAAAGTACACTATTCTAAGATACAAAATTTTACTCCAACATTCTAAGTACAATTTCAATAAGACTCAAGTACATTCTACTTAGATGCATTCTCACCAATAGAGCTACAATCTTGTCAGAGAATTCTAATTCAATCTGTATTGCATGCTACTAGGTGGACATTAGTTACCTTGATGTGTGACAATGCTTTGATGATAAAATACACCATGTAAGTCAGAGCGACACCTCTCTTCAAACATTGGTGTAATAATAATAATCCTGCCAGCTCTCTTCCAGGGCTAACTGTCTGATATTGAATATGGTGAGAAAATGATTGCTTATTCCAGGGTTATATCCCCGATCATCTGATTTGCTATTTTGGGAGGAAGGGTTATAAAGCAGATATAAATATTTCATAGCTCTAGAGAATAGACAAAGATAAGAGAGGGTTTTTTTTTACGAGGAAAACAGTGGTCGGTGATAATAGAGAATGTATTTAAGATGGTAAGACCATGTTGTGCATAATTGATAAATATTTCCCCCTAGTGGAGGCTCCTGTGTCATATAATTATCACAATAAAAGCCCCGATGTCGACGTAAAACTGTAGGCAACATCAGTACATAACACTTTAAGTTATTACATCTCGCAGACATTAATGTCAGATCACCCTTTGCTTTAGGAAATTAACATCCAGTTTTCATTTCCTGTCCATATTTGTCTGAGACCAAAATGTGTCGCAAAAGTCTAAAAATATAGTTTTTCCTCCGGATTATATCATATGATATAATTGTGACCTTGCATTAACTTCGTTTTTATGAATAGAATAAAGGCCAGATTCAGTTGACTGTAGTCATGGCAACAAGCTATAAATATCTCAATTGTAATGATTAAAGTATTTTAAATTACTTTGTATCCTTAATATAGACATACAAATTATGTCAAATTTATTTTGTTTCACATACTTGGGGCTTAATATTCAGATAAATATTTTATTAAAACCTCAACCAGATGTGTGCATTTCCCTTCAAATTCAATGCTCATTTTTATTGTAAAATTTTAATGGATATTGATTTTTTACATCTTTTTTTTTTTACAGACCTGATTTCAGTTTTAAGGAACATATCGACAACCTAGATTCTGCTCCTAAAGTCAAGTCCATTATTCAGAGGGAGAACAAGAGTTTAGATGACAGAGATGTATGTATTCCCAGACCACTAACGGTCTCCTAGCTGATAATATATAAAGCTTGTATAATCTGTTCAATGTCAACTGAGTCCATACTACAGCTTAGATGCCATGAGCTGTCTACTACTTATATATGCGTTTTTAATCCTACTGAGTAGATACATTAACATCAACACATAAGTCAACAAGGACAGAATATAGGATGTCAATAGTGCACAAAGGCAGTAAATGAATCTCAAATTACTCTTTTATAAAATTTGAAATTGTATAATATAATGATTCTTTTAATTTTTTATGAACAATAAACTTGAAAAAATTGCATCATATCCTGTTTTTGACCTGATTTTGCACTTCTGAATTTTCAAGTTCATTGTGCTGAAAACATGTTTTAATTGTTGCAAAATATTCAAAGTATAGAGTTGAATAAGGAAAAAGGTTTTATTTTGATTGCAGATATACACCAGAAATTTAGACAAGCCTTCTTTAGCTCACACAAAAGCAAGGTCGTTTGAGGAGAGAAGGAAGCGTTATGAGAAAGTGCGAAGTAAAATTTTCAATAGCTGTGATGCCGATCCTAGCCAAGAGGTATTTCACATAGACCACAAATTCTCTCTCCACTATATTTCATCTGCAGAAGAGGCAAATTGCTACGTAGTGGTAGATATATTTTGGCCTGTGGTTACCAACATATAGATTTATCTCTAATTTCATCTGTCATGGAAGTCAAGTGTTTTCTTTCTTTTTTCAGCCAATGGCATTTACTGAGGATGAAATGAAGAATGGAATACCAAACATGATGTATATTGGGTAAATATTGTGGAATCTGGGAACTTCAACAATAGATGTTTATATTTAATCTTCAGTTCTCATCGTAATCTTGGCAGATTTCACCAATATGTTGTAGATGATACTTTAAGATAGATTAAGCAAATTGAATTTGTGATAAACTATCCATTTCATGGGAATAGCGTATCAAGAAATTTTAAAAATAATAGACAGTTTTATAATCTAGTACTGATATTGATGATTTGGTTGTGTGCTTGTAGTAAGAAGCCTGTTCGCCCCTCCAGTATCAGTAAGAGTTCAGAGGGACACCCCTGGAGTTCCACGGATTCTAGTGGCTATGGAACAGACTGTTCATCCAGATCAAAGGGAATTCCAAAGGCCAACAGCTTTGGGGGGTTGACCCACTCTCAACATATCAAAACATCTAACAAAAGCCAGAGTTTCTGCAAGGCTGGTAAGTCAAGTAACTGATGACTAGCAAGAGCTCTGTCACAAGAAAATACGTAAAAAAAAGCGTAATTTATGAAGAAGATTTGATTAGGGCTGCAAAAATGGCATTAAAACATTTGACTTGAAGCATATTAAATTGTCTCTTGTTGAGTCATAATGTTAACAAATGCTGAATCAATAAGTATACTGTAATGATTCATGCATTAATAGTGTTTAATGTCAAATATTGCTTATTTTTTTGCAATTTTGTTTTAAAGATTTTGTAAATCTACACCAAATTTATGCATTATGTTATTTTTTATCGAAGAAACTTGATATCATTATGTTTCACCCATATACTCTGTGATTGCTAAATTTTGTTAACTACCATGTAAAAATGTGTTCTGCATCTTGGTCATATTTTATGAATAACACCATTTGACTTCAAAGTATATTTTATGAGAGGTACATTGTATATTGTTTTCTCAATTCTCCATTCTGCAATTATCTTCATTCTTGGGATTAAGGCAGTATAACAGTATTCCTTTCTGCTTTCAATTTGCTGTTGAAAATTTAATTAATATATTGTGATATAAGTGTAGAACCATACTGTAAATAATTTTAATTAATTATCCTTGGTTTTTAATGAAGTACAAGTCCTCCAGTTACAACCTCATACACAATCTGAAATTTATGCACATACAGCTAATGACATTTACATTTAAGATATTTACACAATGAATATTCTGGGAAGATTCCTAATCCTGGTATATTTGTCTTACAGACTCGCTGAACTCGGGGACAGCTAGCCCTGGTCTACAGAGACACTTTGCCACACCCCCTGGCAGTAGATCCGGGAGCTCCCCCCTGTCATGTAGTAGTTCTACTGGTCCAGTGCAATCCCCCATTCATCAAGGTAACAATGCCTCCTTAGTCAAATAGTAAGAAAAGTCATAAGCATGTTGAAATGATTTGTACTTGCAACAAGTGGAAATGCAAGTAAAATATTTTATCAAACGTTATTAAGATAAGTTTGACACTATTGAAAATTATCATTGAAGTCAGTATTGAATATTTTCTTGTTTGAGTTAATAGCAGATTTACACTTACCTTTTGGAACATACCTTGTTAAAAATGACTATTAAGTCCAGAATTTTTTTTAGGCTTTTTACCTGGTCAGGGACAGAATCAAGCTTTATGGGTGGCCTCAGATTACAGGAATATACCTCCAGGTGCAATTATAATTAACCCCCAGACAGGTAAGTACCAGACAGCCAATCATATCATGTTAAAGCAAATGAATATAGATAAAATTTATTCATATGGTTAATTGCAGCTGTTTGAGTTTTCATAGACACTCGGAGCTTAAGACTGTTCATGCTAACCTCTGTGGGTTCTGTATTGTTACAGGTCAGCCCTACTCTAACCCTGACGGCAGTGTGTACACGTACAACCCCAATCTGCCCCTCCCTAATGGTCAGCCCCCCACATCAATGTACCAGACCCAGGAGGCCTGGACACCCAGCTCTGTAAGATAGTTCTAACTCTATATATAGAACAATAAGAATTAATACTGTAGATTCCTAAATATACGCGTAGAATTAATCATCGCGTAATTTCACGAGGAGCACCACATGCGAAATAAAATTACTCGCCTTTATTTATCTGATGCTGAAATCTAAGTATAATCTCTTGATCAACCATCCATTCGCGAATTATTATTTTTGCGATTTGACGTTGAAGAGCCTATTCGCCATAATATCTACTCGCAAAAAATAATGAATCTACAGTACTGTATATGTGTGTGTGAGCAAGACATTTACTTGACATATTACTCATTACATGATTATTTAAATCCTATAGAATATTAAAAGTTAGCAATGATATGTATAATAATGTTTGAAATATGGATTTAGTTTCTCTAAATTAATTTTTTTTGTGTACAACCAAATGTTAAAAATGTCTGGAAATCATTTTTTTATACATGATAAGTACATGTATATGTAAATCCTTTTTATCAGTCTATATTTAGATCCTTTTTACAGAAAGATTCATGTTATTAATAAGGCATGAACATGAACTTCTCAACATTTTGATATGATAATAATTTAATTATCACTCCATAGAAACAGCAGAAATCTAAGAATGAATAATATTAAATCCATTTGAAAGATTCTGCAGTTACAGGAGAATTTCCTGTTTTGTAGGTAAATGATAGTATGAATGGGACGGAGCTATGTAAGCACCTGTCAGCGATGAACCTGAGTCAGCAGTCCTCCCTGGACAGTGTTGGGGAACCTCCCGGCCCCCAGCCCAGCATCCAGTTTATTGTTGGGGGACAAAATCAGATACCATCTGTAAACTTACCTCAGCAGTCTTATCCTATGGCACAGGTACAAACCACTGTTCATCACAATTTTTCATCCAAACAGTTTTCTCTTTGCTGTATTTTTAGGTCACCTGAGTAACTCAGGTGACCTATTGCTATCCGTTTTCGTCCGTCGTCGTGCGTCGTGTGTCGTGTGTTAACATTTGAACATTTTCAGCTTCTTCTCTGAAACCACTGAACCAATTTCAACCAAATTTGGTATACAGCATCTATGGGTGAAGGGGAAGAAAAATTGTGAATTTCATGGTCCCCGCCCCCCTGGGGCCTGAGGGGTGGGGCCAAAACCACTAAAATTATAGCAATCTTCAAAAATCTTCTTCTTTACTCCTGGACATCAAGCAGGCAAACTGTTAGCATGAATGTAATGAGCATTGAGTCCTCTACCAAAATTGTGAAATTCATGGCCCCAGGGTCAGGGGTTCTAGTGCTAGGGTGGGGCTATATAGTTCATATAGTGAAAATGCATTATTTCTTTGAAAATCTTCTTCTCTGCTCCTGGGTATTAAATAAACTAACTAAGTACATAGTTATGATGAGCAAGAGTGCCTCTTCCAGATTTGTGAATTTTATGGACCCAGGGTCAGGGGTTCAGGTGTTAGGGCGGGGCTCTATAGATTATATAGTGAAAATGCATTTAGTCTTTGAAAATCTTCTTCTCTGCTTCTGGGTATTAAATAAACTAACTAAGTGCATAGTTATGATGAGCAAGAGTGCCTCTTCCAGATTTGTGAATTTTATGGCCCCAGGGTCAGGGGTTCTGGTGTTAGGGCGGGGCTCTATAGATTATATAGTGAAAATGCATTTAGTCTTTGAAAATCTTCTCTGCTTCTGGGTATTAAATAAACTAATTTAATGAGCATCAGTGCCTCTTCCAGATTTGTGAATTTTATGGCCCCAGGGTCAGGGGTTCTGGTGTTAGGGCAGGGCTCTATAGATTATATAGTGAAACTGCATTTATTCTTTGAAAATCTTCGTCTCTGCTTCTGGGTATTAAATAAACTAACTAAGTACATAGTTATGATGAGCAAGAGTGCCTCTTCCAGATTTGTGAATTTTATGGACCCAGGGTCGGGTTCTGGTGTTAGGGCGGGGCTTTATAGATTATATAGTGAAAATGCATTTATTCTTTGAAAATCTTCGTCTCTGCTTCTGGGTATCAAATACTCAAACACAGCACATAGTTATGATGAGCAAGAGTGCCTCTTCCAGATTTGTGAATTTTATGGCCCCAGGGTCAGGGGTTCTGGTGTTAATGCGGGGCTCTATAGATTATATAGTGAAACTGCATTTATTCTTTGAAAATCTTCGTCTCTGCTTCTGGGTATTAAATAAACTAACTAAGTACATAGTTATGATGAGCAAGAGTGCCTCTTCCAGATTTGTGAATTTTATGGACCCAGGGTCAGGGGTTCTGGTGTTAGTGCAGGGCTTTATAGATTATATAGTGAAAATGCATTTATTCTTTGAAAATCTTCTTCTCTGCTTCTGGGTATTAAATAAACTAACTAAGTGCATAGTTATGATGAGCAAGAGTGCCTCTTCCAGATTTGTGAATTTTATGGCCCCAGGGTCAGGGGTTCTGGTGTTAGGGCGGGGCTCTATTGATTATATAGTGAAAATACATTTATTCTTTGAAAATCTTCTTCTCTGCTTCTGGGTATTAAATAAACTAACTAGGCACATAGTTATGATGAGCAAGAGTTCCTTTTCCAAAATTATGAATTTTATGCCAATGATCCAAGTATATATATTTATGATGAAGAAAGGTGCATCTAGCAAAATGGTTATTTTTATGCCCAAGGGGGGGGGGGTAGTCTGAAAATAAATTAATGCTTTGAAACCTGCTCTTTGGTATTAATCAACCATTTTATGATAAAATTTGCAAAATTTTGAAATATGTGGCCCCAGGATCAGTGGTTCTTTTGGGGTGAGGTGCACAACTGGTTATAAAGTGGGAAAACATTTTCTCTCTTTGTAACTCTGATCTACCTTTGGGTATTGAGTAAGTAGAGTATTTTTAATTATGATAAGCAATGGTGCCTCTTTCAAAATTGTGAACTGTGAATTTCATGGCCTCTGGTTTAAAACACGAACCAAATTTAATTGTTTGAAAGTTGTTACACAATACTCAGGTGACCTATAAGGCCCGTGGGCCTCTTGTTAGGTTACCTGTCTCACTACTCAGGTGACATATTGCTATCAGTTTTCGTTGTGCGACTTCGGTTAATTAACATTTGAAAATTTACACTTCTTCGCTCAAATTCTATTGATTGAAAATCTTCTTTAGTCATTGGTATCTTGCAGAAAATTAAATTGAATAGTTATGAGGAAATGCTTCTTCCAAAATTTTGAAATTCATCGCCCCTGGGTGAGGGATTGTGAAGTTAGGGCTCCAATAATTTAATTTAATGTTTCATGTATGGATATTTTTACACTGCTGTAAGAGAAGTTACTTCCCTTTGTTATTTGTGTGATGATAAAAGGAAATGTTTAAATTCTACATTCCTTTCACCATAAAGTCAAATCTCCATCCACAAGTAATTTTTTCCACAAACCATGAAGATTTGAACCCCCCCCCCCCCACCCCAAAAAAAAAATTATTGATTTTACAGAACCCTATATTTCAAAAAAGTATTCACAATATTAATAAAATACAAATTGGTGGGACAAAGTCTGTTTTCATATGTACTGTGGGTGTTGTAACCATGCCATATTGACATATTTCTATTTCTTTAAAATTGTTTTTTCTTTAATAATTTTCATATTTGTATAGAAAGTGTAAAGCCTGAACCCTTATTGATATTTGCAGCCTCCATTTTATCAGGGTCCCCAGAACATAAACGGACAGCCTGCAGTGAGATACGTATACCCAGTGAATTGTCAGAATCAGTGCCAGCATCAGATGTCTGGTGATATGCAAAATCAAACTTTCCCCCCAAGTTCTACTCAAGGATTTGGGAGCCAGTATGGAGCCTCTTACAACTCCTATCCTGTTGTGGCAAGTCAGGCAATGGACAGCTTTGTAAACTACTCACAGACTACATATCCTGTAGGTCAAGGTGAAAACAACGTGACATATTCCTCTTATCCCGTGCAATATTCCTCAGGGCAGCAGCCTCAGCCCCAGCAAATGTTTTATCCCAGTACACCAAACATACAGCAAGGAATGTCAAATTACACGTTTGGAACAAATCAAGGACATTACCAGACCTCCCCACCTAGTCAACAGACTCTTCCCAGTGCTAATGGACATTTACAGACTGTGCCCCAGGGCTCTGGGGTTATCCCCATCCCAGGAAACCTCCCCACCCCCACCTCATCCCACTATGTGTATCCCCAAATCCCTCAATTCCAGGGGCAGCCCCGAGTGGCCAGCCCTCAAATTGTGCAGTATCAAAATGTGCCGAGCCAGCCTGGGCTGAACCCCACAGGAAATCCTACCCAGCCGTTTCCCATCATTCGGGGCCTGCAGATGAACATGCAGGTGCCCCAGATTCCAGGCGTGGTGTCCCAGACACAGAGTGTTCCCCCCGGAGGACCAGTGACTGTCAGTGCCAAAGGATGCACGTTTGAAAATACACTGCCAAAAAAGGACTTTGATAAGCAGGAGTATGTTTTAGGGGGGATAGGGAGCTTAGGATCCCCCCTAGTGACAGGGCCCCGACCTCTAGGACAAATTCTTAGACCCCCTACACAGACAGGTAGGTCGCCTATCTTTGATCAATGAACTTAAGGGTATATCGTTTCTGTCAGCAAGTTTGGGGGGGGGGGATGGTTGATCAACAAACTACCCAAAAGTTCCCCCTGTAGTCATATGATATTATTTAGTCACTTGTACAAAATGAAGCTTCTTATTTTTCTAGAAAATTAAAAAGTCTTAAAATATTCTTAATCAGCTAACCCCTTGAATTGAATAATTGGATTTGTATCATTATTTTAGCTCTCTTTTAAAATGCATAATTTTCTGTCATTTATCAAACATGGACAATTATAAAGATGCTAATATACTGGTACATTGAAGTTTTCAATGTAATGTGGATGGTATTTTTCAGACCTTCAGTTAATAGGACAACCTAGTATACGTCCACAAATTCCACTACAGAATGTTCTTCATCAGCAAAAACCAAGGTGAGTAGCTCAGTTAGATAGGGAATGGCGGTGGACAATATTCCAACAGTAATGTTTTGCTGAATAATGTGCAGTACTTTAAAGATGCACTTTACGAATTTTTACTTTGTACTGCACGTTTAGATTGTTTTGCTAAAAAATGCTGTATAGGCAGATAAAATTGTAGCGCATTATATTTTTTTCTGAAGAATCCATAGTAGTATGAGCTTCATTTGCAGAGCTGCATGTATTTTGTGTAAGGGAATTTTTTTTAAAGCATTGCTTGGTTTTGAGCCCGTTTTCTTGCTGGATTTCAGAATGTCAAATCAGCCCAGTAGTAAGCCTCAGAAACTAAGAACTGTGGGCAGCAAGGAAGGCTTGGAATCATGCCCCTCCCCCCAGAATGTGGATTCTGAGAGCCCCTCAGGTGTGAAATGACAAAAAGTAAATACTAACACTATCTTACTGTCCCACTAACATACGCTCAACTGCATCCTTGTCCTGCCTGCTATTTGGCATGTCTTTCTGGCTTTTTAGGTCACCTGAGTAAACTCAGGTGACCTATTGCTATCTGTTTTTGTCCGTCGTCGTCCGTCGTCTGTCGTCCGTCGTCCGTCGTGCGTTAACATTTAAACATTTTCAGCTTCTTCTCTGAAACCGCTGAACCAATTTCAACCAATTTTGGCATATAGCATCTATGCGTGAAGGGGAACAAAAATTGTGAATTTCGTGGTCCCTGCCCCCCTGGGGCCTGGGGGGTGGGGCAAAAACCACTAAAATTAGTGCAATCTTTAAAAATCTTCTTCTTTACTCCTGGACATCAAACAGTCAAACTGTTGGTATGATTGTAATCAGCATTAAGCCCTCTACCAAAATTGTGAAATTCATGGCCCCAGGGTCAGGGGTTCTGGTGTTAGGGCGGGGCTCTATTGATAATATAGTGAAAATGCATTAAATCTTTGAAAATCTTCTTCTCTGCTCCTGGGTATTAAATAAACTTGTTAAGTTCATAGTTATGATGAGCAAGAGTGCCTCTACCAGAATTGTGAATTTTATGGCCCCAGGGTCAGGGGTTATGGTGTTAGGGCGGGGCTCTATTGATTATATAGTGAAAATGCATTAAATCTTTGAAAATCTTCTTCTCTGTTCCTGAGTATTAAATAAACTAACTAAGTTCATAGTTATGATGAGCAAGAGTGTCTCTACATAAATTGTGAAATTCATGGCCCCAGGGTCAGGGGTTCTGGTGTTAGGGCGGGGCTCTATTAATTATAAAGTGAAAATGCATTAAATCTTTGAAAATCTTCTTCTCTGCTCCTGGGTATTAAATAAACTAACTAAGTACATAGTTATGATGAGCAAGAGTGTCTCTACCAAAATTGTGAAATTCATGGCCCCAGGGTCAGGGGTTCTAGTGTTAGGGCGTGGCTCTATTGATAATATAGTGAAAATGCATTAAATCTTTGAAAATCTTCTTCTCTGCTCCTAGGTATTAAATAAACTAACTAAGTACATAGTTATGATGAGCAAGAGTGCCTCTACCAAAATTGTGAAATTCATGGCCCCAGGGTCAGGGGTTCTGGTGTTAGGGCGTGACTCTATTGATTATATAGTGAAAATACATTAAATCTTTGAAAATCTTCTTCTCTGCTCCTAGGTATTAAATAAACTTATTAAGTTCATAGTTATGATGAGCAAGAGTGCCTCTACCAAAATTGTGAATTTTATTGCCCCAGGGTCAGGGGTTCTGGTGTTAGGGCGTGACTCTATTGATTATATAGTGAAAATACATTAAATCTTTGAAAATCTTCTTCTCTGCTCCTAGGTATTAAATAAACTTATTAAGTTCATAGTTATGATGAGCAAAAGTGCCTCTACCAAAATTGTGAATTTTATTGCCCCAGGGTCAGGGGTTATGGTGTTAGGGCGGGGCTCTATAATGATTATATAGTGAAAATACATTACATCTATTACATCTATGAAAATCTTTTTCTCTAATTCTGGGTAATAAGCAGATGAACTATTTATTTAGTTATGATGGGTTCCTCTTCCAGAATTGCGAATTTCAAGGCCCCTGAGTCAGGGATACCAAATGGGGGGGGGGGGGGGGGGGCTCTACTTATATACTGAAAATGAATTGTTTGAAATCTACTCCTTGGTATTAATCAAGTAATTTTGATAAGCAAGTGTGCCTTTTCAAAAATTGTGCAATGTGTAGACTTAGGGTCAGGTGTTCATGTGTGGTAGGAGCACTCCTGATTATTGCTGAATATTACGCTGAATATTACTGATTAGTTGACATACATTTTTGTTCCCCAACCCTGCTTATGGGTATTAAGTAATCAAACTAAACAATTGCTAAGTGTAAAGTTATGATTAGCAATGGTGCCTCTTTCAAAATTGTGAATGCCATAGCATCTAGCTTAAAACATAAACCAAATTCAATCATTTGAAAGTTGTTGCATGATGCTCAGGTGACCTATAAGGCCCGTGGGCCTCTTGTGTTAATGTAATTTTGTTTTTTTAATTTTATCTGATTGACTATATCAACTTTGTCTTTAAGATTTGTTAATTTTGCATCATTTTATGAAGAATGTTTTGAAATTGTACAGAAAAGTGAATGATTTGTTTTTCTATTGTAACTTCACTAGCCAAGGGTTTTTGGTCTGCACTGCTCTCCATTTACAGTGGAACAAAGTGGCTAGCAAAAATGAGTTTTTGCATATACACTATGAAAATTTATATACAGTCAAATTTCACTGTCTCAAAAATGCACAAGAGATACAAAAACCTATATTTTAATATGTTCAAAATACATGCATAAGCAAGCTAGTTCTGAGATGAATCAGATGAAAGATGATATAGTAGGAGTAGCATAAGTTAGGATTTGTATGTTTTTTTAATGTATTGTATTTTGTTGTTGTAGTTGAGTTCCTAGAAGTTCATGGTGTGTCGTCAGATCTCTCCAGGGAGGACATGATGGAGATGTTATCTGACCTAACGTCACTAGGAGTTCAAATAGAGGTTCAGAACGAAGACACTGAAACACGGACAATTCTAGCCGTGCTACCAAGCAACCTCGCTGCAGCTGATCTCATACAAACCCATAATAACGCAAACTATCAGCTCCAACTGTGCAATTCGGATATTTAGCTAGAACAAATTATAGGATGATATTTTTATACACTTCAGTTTTAGTGAAGATCATGTGCAGTGAAAAACCTCAGTGAAATTTTGTTCAGATTTACAAAAAAACACACAGCTGATGGAAGAGGGCATATAGAAATTATTGTATTTTGCTGTGTTTAATGGAGGCTAAAGGTCAACATTTTAACAATGAAAAAATAGTATTTTTACACTCCATGTTTAAATATTGTTGTTAGGTTTATACTTAATATATATTATATATCTATATCCGAGTTGATTTTGAAAATATTTAGTGTGTCTATTAATAACGAAACCTGTTACATTCTTTTTTTAAAATTTTCAGTAGTAACTATTTTTTTTAGCATCTGAAATCTGATATTCCTGTCTAGAGTCAGGGTGTACGTTGGAATCTCGTGTTTACACTTTAACCTAGGGTATATGTCACTGTTCAGTGTAAAGTCGTAAATAATGTCAGAACTGGGTTATAACAGTAAAGCACGCTTTTAACAAAGTGCCAGCGACAGATGAATTCGATTTGAAATCAACGTAATTAGTTTTATCTGTTAGTACACCTGTATCACAATGCAGCTGAAAGTCTCATAGAATGAAAATAATTTCACTGTAAGTGTCTATTCATTATAAGTGTATCCGCTAGAAGCGTGTTTTACTGTATAACACTTGTGTTTTCTAATATTTTCTTCCCTCATCTTTCCCTGTGTCATGTTCCCTTTATCGTCTTTCTCTTATTTGTAGAATGTTAAAAACTTATTCTTCAGAATTCATTGTATAAACTTTTGAAAAACTTGCCTCTTCAAAAATTATTTCTGAAAATAACAAGTCAAACATTTCTTTTGGATTTTTTTGTATGTTCAATCATTAACATTAGGTGAAGAATCCATGACAACTTAGTTTTTTTGTTGAAATTCTTACAAGAGGAGAAAAATTATACAGTATGTTGAATCCCAATAAGTTTTTTTTCTATGCACCCTACCAATGTGCCTAGTTCTGCTGTTGTCATCGTCTAAGAAACCACTCAGTATTGATGTCAGAAATTCGGTGTAGCCGAGGCTATAAGATAATTGGTGTGATCTTTTTTCGTTTGTTTAACACACATACTGTTTAGTTCTGTGAACGACGGGATCATTTTTCGTTCTTTATTTTCTTTGATCTCTGAGTGTTGCTTTAAGTATGTGCTTCATTGGCCAAGAGCAGTATCTCTTTCTGATAAAGGCCCTGACACCTTCGTACATGACGTAAAACTCCTTTATGATTAAGTTTACTGCTGCTCTCTCATTGGATAATTACCAAGAGCTGAAATTTGACAAAAAGTTGCGTGCTGGACTGGTGTTGTACATGCATAGTTTATCTGTGACCCTGTTTTTTACAATGTGGCTTTATATGTAGAATCTTTATAAAGAAGGTGTAAAATTTCCACACCACCAAATCAAAAAAATATCTTTAAGCAGATGCCTTCATAATTGAATCAAAGTGTACTTGAAACTCAGGTTAAGTTGTATTTATTTGCTGATGTAAATCATGCTTTTATTATTTGTGGACAAATGCTAACTCCTCTGTTGTCACGGGAGATATTTACAACTGAAACGTACAATACAATTTTATGATATTCAAAACAAATATACTTGAAGTAGGTTGTTTCAGAAATGATTATTTTTACAGAATGGAAGAACCAACACAATTCACATTGCCCATGTGAGTGAAATATTACCGGAGTCCAAAGCCAGATGTTGTCTTAGGAGACTACCCCGTCATATATATGTGTCATAAATCGGCTTTGATTCTACTGTTCTGTGATAGCGAATGCAGTTGTGAAATTGTTTATGTGTTATGTGTATTTTCATTGTCACCAACAATTCAGTCTGTTTTAGTCAATTTTTTAAAAAATTTTGTTGATAATAAAAAGTCTACTGCATTGCATTATTGTTGTACAAGTTAATTTTTTAAACAGTCCCAAAATCAAGACCATGAAGATGTAAATTGCATATGGTTTCTTATATGTGATTGAATAGTACATGCTTTTCTGCTTGTGTCCACATTAATTTACTACAAAAACCAAAAATCTCATACCTGCTATACATAATTGTGATGAGCAAATGACCTGGATATTCCGGTCATAGAGTCAGTTGGTTTTCAGTCCAGTCACTGACACCTACTTTACAACAGTCAACACGGATCTAAAGACTGAGTGTGACTTGTAAATAATCCTTTATGAATTTTAGATTGAAAGTCTGCAGAAAGCATGTAAGCTCACTGGGACTTTTGTTCATCAGGTACAACCACACCGGAAATTGTACATGTATAAATGTGGCATAACAGTGTCTGCCAGGTTACAAGTACTCGACAGGATTTTGTCCACAGGGTTAGGTTATAAGTACATAGTGGTTCTTTGATGTGGGCTGGACAAAAAAAAAATTGTTACAGGCATCATTGATTTTTACAACTTTTTAGTACAATATGCAGTGTGGGTTATCATCAGTAAAATACTTGGCCATTCTTTCATTTTTTAAAGTTGGCCAGAAAAATTTAAGTCCACTGCATCATGATCTTGACCTTGGCTGCACAAATGTATTGCTGGTCTGTAAAAATTGAGACAGTCCATTCTTTCAGACTAGCTAAATCCAAAGCTACCTTGACCTTTGACATGACCTTTCATCAGGGTCCTGAATACTCACAGTGGAGGTAAACAAAAATTAAAGTACATGTATTTTTGGCCTCAGAGACTACATGTATTTGTAATTTTGTTAGATAAAAAATTGAGTTCATATCCTGCAAAGAGGGCTTAACCTTTCCCTGATGCATGTATTAAGCTTGGTTCAAATTTGATGTACCATCATTACAATGTAGCAAGGACCACTTTTAATGATTAACTTAATCATCTGAGAGTGAACGAAGCAAACAACACACTTGCACATGTGTTGATATATAAGTAGTCCTGTACTTGTAGAAATCGGTGAAATGTACTTGCTGCACTTTACACGTACGTTAGAACGTGCGACTTGGTGATTGTTTTGGATACCTATTGTGATTTTATTGCTCAACTTTTGATCCTCTTTTAGAGTAGCATGGTGTGCTTAAAAAGTCCTTTGAATTCATATAATTCAGGATTAACAAGATTAAATGTGTACTTAAACCATGAGGTTTTTCCAAACTGAACCTTCTTACAATGGAGGATTACTGAATTAAGAAATCGCTCTTTGTTACTGTCAGTAATTTAAATACACCTGGTCTGCCACTGCACACATGTACAGCATCCCCATTTCTCTTAATCAAGAGATCCAGCATGATTTCAGAGTCATAATATTTACTATACCCCTTTTTTCCAAAGGTCTTCCTTCAAAAAGTCAAAAATAAACAGAGAAAATTAAATTTGTAGACTTTATATTTTGTTTACTATAACTTTCTCAGACAAACATAACTGATTTTTAACAACAGACCCATGGGCCACAAAGCTCACCTGGCAAGTCTGTCTGTAGATGAATTGGGGTCCCAAGAAAACAAACTGTACATTAAATCTATACCTTAAACATTAAAATGACATCTACAGATTGTTTTTATTCAATATTCTTGGACAAAAAGCTTTTTAAATTGGCCTCATCTTCTTTACAATTCTTCCTTATTTGTTCTCCCATTTTAAAAAATTGCACAAATTAAGATTTTATCTCTTTCCAAGCATTATTTCAGAAAAGAATAATTTTGGGTAGATCATTCAGGAAAATTCTATAGAACTTGTAAATACATATACATGTATACACCATACAGAATGGCATTGGTCAAACATTAATCAGAAAAGCTCACTGAAGCCTTTGGCTCAGTTACACTAACAAACAAATGTTTCGCAATGATTTACCTATCTTCACAGAAGGACTGCTTATTGTGCCTGCAAGTCATCTGTGATACAAGTTAGTTAAAAGTTTAATTCTTCACTCTGCTTGTAGATGGATTTACAGTAACATGAAATATGACATATGTAATGTATTTGACAGTTATAACCAGCACACAATAAATATCACTTATTATTATCATACAAACTTGTCTGTAAACATTGTTAGCTGTCAAATGACTTCCTATTTTAAAAAGTTTTCCCTATCCATTCATTGTTAACAAAAATACTATATATCTTTTAAAACTTTCTTTTCCAAATTTTTTATTCTAAGGAATCTTTTAAGTACATGTCTATTAAGCATATACTCTAATAGAAAACAATGTAAAATCTAAAACCTAAAATGTTTATTGCACAAAGATTATCACAATATCTGATCATGGAAGATGCACAATTGATGCTGAGTGTCATATTGCTGTGTAATTTGCTATGTACATGTTTGTATATCTTAGTATTTATCTTAAGTACAAGTCTCTTCATTAAATAATCCTTCTACGTAAACGAAAACTAAACAAAACAGAAGAATCACCCAATGAAAGATATATATCAAACAAAATATATTGTACTCTAGGATTTGCCATCTAGCACTATTACAACTACCGGTACTCTGCTATTCCTATCAATGCTATATTTCTTTCTGTCTAAGCTAGCATGTCCTTCTTATAAAGCATAGTTCTAAGAGTAGATTTTTGATGAGCACACTTTTAAAGATTGATCTTATAGATCCAAAAAGTTCCAAATCTCTATCATTTAAATAAGCTCCAAATTCAAAGTAAATCTGTTATGCCTTCCAAGTAAAGCTTTTAAATTTGTAAGAAGAAACCCTGCTCTTTAATACCTTTTTTTAAAATGCCAAATAAACTATGAAAATAAGATCAATGTTCATTTTACTGGATAGAAAAATGGCTCCATCAAAATCTACTATGCTCTAAATTGTTTCAAAAAAAAAAAACAGAAAGAACATCTACAATGGCAATCACAGTAAAAAAAATCATAAGCAAAATATGACTTCAAATCAAGATTACACAATTTATAAGGTTTTCAGCACTGTTTCAAAAATTAAATGAAGGAATGCCTGGCATCATTTTCTACTATATAAACTCATTATATAACACAAAATATTTCAATCAATTAATATAAACATAAATTAGTTAAGTCCATCCTTAAATTTTCTTCTTCTTTTTTTTTCATACCACCAGTATTTTTGTAATTTGCATAAAACTCTCATTTAGAATAAACAAACGATATACATTTGGTTATTCATCTGAATATGGGCTTAACAGTATGTTAATGATGTACAACATTGGACGGAATACAAGGAATTATTAAGTACTATATACAGAGACCTCATTGAGCTGATAAAACTGTACATAATATATACATGTAAAAAATTAACAAAATGTCTGACTCAACATGACTAAAAAAGGTCATTCTAAATGCAAGTAGAATGTGTTTATAATAAATGCATTCAATAAAAATGTTGGAAAATAAATATTCATGGATTGCATGTTAAAATGTTATATACTAACAAGACAGGGAACAAGGGGACTGTGTATGATATACCCTATTCAATACTGACCACCAGGACTATAGAAACTAATACTGGGACAGAACCTATGTACATAAGACATACAAGAAATTATAATACTGGTCAGGTGTCTTGGCTTGCTCTCGAGTAAAAAATATCTGGCTGGAATCTTCAGTAAACATTTAACAAAACTCTCTTATAGACATGCATAGTAAAAAATAATCCACTGCAATGGACGGATGCAGCCATGTGAAATCTGAGAATGATTGTATTTTAAAAAATCACATCAAAAGTCAACATTTCAAATGTATTTTTAAAAATCCTGTTAATCTATGTATTTGAAGAAGACAAAAAATTCCACAATAAAAGTAAAACATTTTTGTCACTTGTACTTTTAAGTCCATTTCAAGAGTAATAAAATAATTGCAGTTTATTGCTTCAGCAAGAAAGAGATTGAAATTATTTTCCGATGGGTGGCAAGAATTTGGACTCGTCGGTGGCGGTGGGGTCCGGCTTGGGGTGGAGGGGGTGACCGGTGGCCAGGTTCTTGACCTCTTCATGATTGACCACGGTGTGGCTGGGGTCCCTCCGGGCACTGTCCTTGTTACTCTTGGCACTGGGTGCTGTAAAATAATGGGGTCCTGTTGGAGATTAGTTGTTAAGACAAACTACAGAGAAAGCAGACAGGTGCACAACACAGGCCACACAGACAGACACACTGATTGCTGCTCTGTAAAAACCCCTCACACGAGAGTGCAAGATCACAACTCCTGGAAGCTGATTCTATGCTTATATTTATTCATTTTACTTTTATTTTACTGTAAAATCACAACTTAATTTTCTTTTTGTGTTATAAAGCCCCCAAGAAAAGTAAAATTTCAAAGATAAATCAACTCAGAATTTCTAGATCTTCAACCCTAAAATCAGTCCCCATGAACCAGTATTTTTTCCATATATAAAGTACAAAAGTTTGACCCAACAAAAATATGTGATTTTACAGTAATTAATTGACGTCAAAGATCCAGTAGTTGATTGGAAAACTGTGGTATTAACATAAAAAGCAAAGAACGTGCACAAACATACAATGCAACAATTAATATAATTTACTAATTATCTTACACATATTTAATATTAACTAGAGCTTGTGCAACATTGTTCATATAAGATACTTTCTAGATTTTCTACCTAGCAATATACAGTATTAAACAGGAACATGTAATAAATTTAAGAGCAAAAAGAAAGGAAAACGAAACTTAAATCCACTGATTTGGAATTCCAGACAACTGCTATTGGGCATCCCAAATCACATGCATCTCAAACCGTGCCATTCCTAAGGTAGGTCCAGCACTCAGTGAAAGTGCTGTCAAATTTTGCTCAAGTGCCTCTTGTGTTTAAAGTAACAGTGATGAAAATCTTAAGACTGTCCCCAATATATATTGCTACAAACAAGTAGTTTGCCCTTTCAAAATTTATTTCAGATTGATTTTAACAAGCATGACAAACAAGAAATAATTTACCAATACACCCACCATCCCCCAAATATTTAGACTAAGAGATAAGAAAGACTCTGATAATAGAAACGAATAAGTCTAATTTTTGCTGATATACCTTTCTAAAAGAAAATTTGGTTGGTTAGAAAAGGAATGATGTCTAAACTGTTGAAATATTACTTCAGTAGTAGCAATATGCTAAAGTTTTAATCCAAATTCATGATCATGCATGGATTTAGCATATTTTCTAAATGGTTTTTAATTTGAGTAAATTTAATGTTCATGCATCATTCCAGATTAAGACGTTTTGAGAGGAGAGATTACATTTAGTAGACGATGGACAGTGAGGAGTTTGATCCAGGTGCTAGATTAGGTTATTAGAAGGTTAACAAATCACTGTCTAGTTCCTTACTTCTCTTTGTAATGGGGCACTGCTTTCCTTAAAATAACTTTATATAGGTGACATGTGTAGTGGTCTTATCTGCAGGTGTAAAATAAAATAGCAGGTTTATTTGTAAGCTTTCAAACAAGCAAATACTTTTTTTAAAAAGGACTCATTTTTTAAAAAGTTTATGTCCTTATTCCTTATTCCCTTGTTAATTTTTGGTAGGATGATAAATGAATGCTGCATTTTTAGGTTGAATGTGAGATAAACATGAACATTTTAAGTGATGCGCATAATAGAACCATCATCATCCTCAAGTCAGCTAGACTCCAGGGCATTTCAAACAGTGACATGTGCAAATGTAGTGGTATTCACACAATAACATCTTCAAATTTGTTTGGTGATGATAATCTGTGTTGCTTGTAAGATTTTACATTATATTTCTGCAAAATTTAGGATAAATAAATTGTGCTGGACCTAACTGATTTTCTACAGCAAATCATACTTAATATTTTTTTTATTGATAGGGCTCATTGTGTGCCATTTCTGCATCATGCTAAAGTACAAGTGACTGCTACAATCAATGAGATTTGATCATCACACTAAGACAAACACTGGTAGCTACCTCTAGCACTGTGCTCTTCTCGAGTGTGCTCAGCTGAGGCTCCCACGGGGGGAACCCGTTTGGCACTCTGTTTTCTTTCCTTCAGACTCACTTTCCATTCATCACTCTTCTGTCGCTCTGAAGTGGTCACCAAGAAATCAGTACACGAATCAATCAGTATAAATATATACACACTGATTGACATTAACAATTGTTATACCCCTACAAAACTGTCCCTTGATAATTCTTACTTTAAAAAGTCTAACAGTTCAACTGTTTTCCCCAACTGTCGGTTCAGGAACTGTTTGAATAGACTGTTTAAAAAAGACTGTTGCCCACTGATGTCAAATGGCGCTAAACTGAGTTATCTTTTCATTCAGCAAAGGAGTATAACAAAACAGTTGTTGACAGGAGTCTCGAGAAACAATCGACCTGTTAGACCAGAGTGCAAACTGTTGCCTGTGGACTACGGCCTTGGGCAACAGCTTGCACTCGTGTCGAACGGATCGACTGTTTCCCTATACCAAGTCAACAACTGTATACTTTAATTAAAATCATATTTAAGCCATTAAGTATAGAGAAAAACGATTAATGAAAAATAAGGTACAGGTATTTCTCATTTTTAGTGTTAAACAATTCTTACATATTTCAGTAAATGACTCCACACAGATATAGAAGTCATGTTTTTTTTACCCCTTGGAGCCCCTACCTTTGCCTGGAACCTGGGCCGGCACCTTGTAAGGGTCTGTAGGTTTCTGGGCTTCATTGTTATGGTCAGACACGGCGGGTGAGGGTCGGTGGGAGGCCTTCTGTTGTGAGCGGTTGGAATCCCGCGCCTTACGGTTAACCAGACCCTCCTTGATCCAGTCATGCTGAAGGGCCTCCTCAGGGGTCATTCTGATATTGGGGTCCCATCTAAATAAGTACAGTAAACTTGTACAACTGCAATGATCCACTGTGTCAAGCTCAATTATTTTCTACCCCAACCTTTTTTTTAAATTTGCATAATTTGATCTAATTTAATTTACTGAAGTAATTCCTAACATAGCTGTTGACTTCAATTTTTTTCATTTGATTTTTTAAAAACACATTTTCCATCCTGTGATTCTGTGATTTTTGATGCCCTGACTATACTCACTCTAGGCAACGCCTGATGAAGTCCAGGAAGTTAGCATCACACGTCTTCACAGCCTGCTGCAGGTCCTTAGACCCCACCCTCCTCTTTTTACCTTTACTGTTTGTTATACAACGGGGATTACCCTTGGAATCTGATAAAAAAAAAATCTACATGTACTCATTTGTTTTCATATATACCAAAAATATTTTAAACACTTGAAATATTCAGAGGTTAGACTGTACCCTATCAGACATATGAAGGTTTGACTGTAACCTACCAAAGAAGAGCCTCCTTCTGGTTGCCTGGTCCAGTACGTTCCCGCTGGGGAGTCCCAGGACCTCCATAATACAGGCCAGCTGTTCCACCTCATTCTCCCCGGGGAACAGGGGGTACCCCGTGTAGAGCTCTGCCAGGATACAGCCAAAGCTCCACATGTCTATAGGCATGGAGTAGGGTAAACCTAGGATTACCTCCGGAGACCGGTAAAAACGACTCTGGATGTACGTGTACACTGGAGAGAAAAAAACATACAGTTAAACATGGGTATAGTTAAGACACTTATAATGAATTCATGGTGAATTGATTTTTATTCCCAATCGTTCTAAAACATATTATAATCACATCTTACCCCTTTGATGTTCATAACAACTTGATCCAAAGTCTATCACTTTTATTGAACTTTGACCTCGTTGTCGAAGTAATATATTTTCCTGTAAAATAAAAATTTGGTTCTTGATCAATCAGTATCTTTCTTTAATACAGATTAAATATGTCTCTCAAAACTTTCTTGTGTGTAACCGATATAGTGATACATGTATACAGATTTTAATTTGATATAATAAAAATCTTACTGGCTTCAGATCACAGTGAATAATTCTCTCGCGATGCAACATTTTAAGGCATTGCAGGAGAGAAAAGGCAAATCTACGAATTAAAGCTATACTGAATCCCTGAAAATTGTTCTTCTTGATTAGCTCATAGAGATTCATCCTGTAAACAAACAAAAAATATATTTATAAGTCAATTTGTTAATTAATTAGAATTTATTAGATACATAAAAGTGCAAATTTGAGCAGAATGGTGAATCAATGATTAGATGATTTTCTGTCTTTGAGTGGGCACATAATTGACTGCATGGGCACATTAAACATATTCCTTATATTCCTAGCTTTTTAATCAAGTTCTCAAATTCTTTTAGCAATAAATCAATCTCAGTTTAGTTGTTTGAAACATAATTCATATATTTTGCATATATATATTCTATTTTATTTTGTCATTTTCCTAGCCAAATATTTTTCATAAAACATGCAGTAATCAGGAAAGCAATGCTAAAAAAAAATACATCTTGTTTCGTGATTTTATCAATAATTAGAAGAAGTTACATTATAACTACATGTAAACCTACCCCATGAGCTCGAATGTGATACAGAGATGATTGCGGAAATAGAAGTATTCTCCCATGTGGATGATATTAAATTGGTTGTCTTTGTCTCGTCGACGCAGAGCATCTAGAATTTTTACTTCCACTAAAGCTTGGTGGTGAAATCTGTCAACAATATAATTAATTATAAAGTCAAATCAGTTCAATAATGTTCATCTGCCAGCCAAAATAATTTCAAATTCATAACATCCTGCATTCATATTTAAAGGTATTTCAATTCTTTTTCTGTTGAATTCTTTCCATTTTCAAATATTTTTACATTCCATAGTACTGAACATTGAATCAAAACAAATTGACGTTATTCTCATTTCTAAATTAACACATTAATTACCGGTGATATCTCGACTTTCACTATAGTGCAAAATGATTAAGATATTACCTTTTCTTATTTCTGATAATTTTGACAGCTACCATCTGATCTGTTTTGTGGTCATAGCATTTGACCACTTGACCAAATGACCCTTTACCCAGCACTTCAAGAATTTCATATCTATACACCATGTGGTCATGCATGACCTAGAAAATAATTAGTGCAGAAATAGCAAAATGGCAGAAGGGTGCAAAGTATATGCTCATTATCCAAAAGGGCTAAAGCAAGGATAATGCAGAAAATCTATCCAAAACACAAATATATAAATGTATATTTGAAAATAGTGGATATCCAATATACCGGGTACATGTATGGTATACTGAGTAACAAATGAAAAATTACAAAAAAAATCAATGTTTTCAAAGAGGATAGTCAATTTTTAAGTATAAAATGGCTAAGTGAGTAATATTTTTGCCAAAAGTCAGTTACACTCAGTTATATTAGTATTACTTTAAAACATTTATAGAGAGATGAGGCTGCATTATTCAGCATCCTATCTTACAAAACAGAAATGGACTTAATATAAAGAATTTTTTTTTTATGTAGAGGTCTGTTTTACAGAAGCTTTTACATTATCACTTGGTACCCTAATAGGTTATCACTCAATAAATATATATTACCACATATTATATATAGAAATCAAAATTAAAAATTTATAATTGAAAATATATTCATTCTGACGAACTGGTAATGGCTAGGCAAATGACAACATGCTCTAAATATTATGATTATTTATAGACTTCTCTACCCTGTTAAATAATATTTTGTCCTAAGCAATCCTATTCTAAAGATTCTTTTAAAGTCACACAACTATAAATACTTTAAATAAATGTTATTGTCACTATCAACTCAGAACCCAGTAACTGTTTCAAAAGTTGATAACTGGCACAGGTAAAAGTTTTCTATAGGGTAAAACCAACTACTTTACAAAATAAGTGTAAGAAAATTCAAACGTGCACATAAATAATATATATATGATTCTAAAACTAAGCTGATAAGTTCACTAAAAACCCTATAAAAGGTTTTTAACTTCTAGCCAAGCTCTATATTGTGTGTTTTCCAAGCAATGTTGCGGCCAAAACTATTCACTCCGAATCAGGTTTTACCTCTTCTTATTACGAACAATCTTAATAGCCACTTCCTCATCACGCTTATGGTCAAGGACTTTAACCACTTGACCAAATGACCCTTTCCCTACGACTTCCAAAATTTCATAGCGGAATGCCATTTGGTCACCTATTATCTAGAAGATTGTCACAAACTCAAATTAAATCACAAAATCTGAATTCAATTTTTTTAGTGCATACCTAATATAGTCCTTTCCTATTTATTTTTCATACAACTTACATATGGTGGCATTAGAAAAACACATTTAAAGTTCCATTAAATCTGATGACTATCCACAGCTAACTTCTAAATTGAAAGTTAAATCACGGGAAATTATCATTGCGGGATGAAAGACTTCCAGCTACAGGTTTTTATATATCCTACCTTGATGTAGGATCCATTTTCATCATCGTAGCCATTGTTTTGAGCTCCACCGGGGACACCTTCGATCTTCTTAGCCTCAAGACCGAGGAACCAGATCTCTGGGTAATCTAAGATCTCTGTCTGTTCAAACGCTGTCAATTTACTTCTAAATTGCTTAAGAGCCTCTGAAATGAAGAAAATCAATTTTTTTTCAGAGATGCAAAATCAAGCACAAAATTCAGATTCATTAGATACTATATGAAAATTCTGAAAAATATTTTGAAATGTCTTAAATTCTAAATTGTACAGAACTAACACAAAGTCTAGAAATAGATTTCTTCTATGATTCTTAGACAAATTTCATATCATGATTTAATAAAAAATAAGTAAATTTGAATATCTAACTATTCACAACCCAATTCCGTAGTACTGCTCAGTTAAAAAAAAAAGAAGAGATAAACTGGTTCCCTGCCCTCACCTCCAGGAGTCATTGGCAGCTTGTTCCCGTAAGCATCCCTCTTTGTCCTGTCAGGGGTACCTGTGTTGATAGTGGAGTAGGAACTTTGACGAGTGTAAGCTTCTGATTTCTTGTTGAGCTGAGGGAGGGTGTTGGAATCGTTTTCATGGTGCTGTTTCTGGTGGGAATTTTTGAGGTCGTTTTGATTGCTCAGCTGTGGAAGTGTTGTTGTTGGAGCAACAGCAGCTACTAGCTTACCGCCCTGTGAATATACAAAGAGATAAAATTACCTAAGCTACAAGCATACATCTTCCTCATATTAAAAATACGATTCAGCACAGTAGACCCCTGACTTATGTTTGTGCTGTGTGGTGGTGTAGGAGACCGCTGACTTGTGTTTGTTCTGTGTGGTGGTGTGGTGTGTTTGTTCTGTGTGGTGGTGTGGTGTGTTTGTTCTGTGCGGTAGTGTGGTGTGTTTGTTCTATGTGGTGGTGTAAGAGACCGCTGACTTGTGTTTGTTCTGTGTGGTGGTATAGGAGACCCCTGACTTGTGTTTGTTCTGTGTGGTGGTGTGGTGTGTTTGTTCTGTGCGGTGGTGTGGTGTGTTTGTTCTGTGCAGTGGTGTGTTCCGTGTGGTGGTGTGGTGTGACTTGTGTTTGTTCTGTGTGGTGGTGTGGTGTGGTGTGATGACTTACCTCGGTGTAGGAGACCCCTGACTTGTGTTTGTTCTGTGTGGTGGTGTGGTGTGTTTGTTCTGTGTGATGCTGTGGTGTGAGTTGATGAACCTCAGTGTAGGAGACCCCTGACTTGTGTTTGTTCTGTGTGGTGGTGTGGTGTGACTTGTGTTTGTTCCATGTGGTGGTGTGAGTTGATGACTTACCTCGGTGTAGGAGACCCCTGACTTGTGTTTGTTCTGTGTGGTTGTGTGGTGCGTTTGTTCTGTGTGGTGGTGTGGTGTGTTTGTTCTGTGTGGTGATGTGGTGTGATGATTAACCTCGGTGTAGGAGACCCCTGACTTGTGTTGTTCTGTATTGTGTTGTGGTGTGTTTGTTCTGTGTGGTGGTGTGGTTTGACTTGTGTTTGTTCCGTGTGGTGGTGTGAGTTGATGACTTACCTCGGTGTAGGAGACCCCTGACTTGTGTTTGTTCTGTGTGGTGGTGTGGTGTGAGGAGGGTTGTTTATTGGGAATCTGCTGGGAGGAGGACTGATATTTGCTGCCATCAGCATTCAGTCGATTTGACCGCTGCTGGATATTGGCATGTTGAGGGCTCTGAAATCAAAATAACATTCATGTAAGAAATATTACTGACTCTGTTAACAGATATCAAACTATAAATATCAACACTTTAACTGATTCTCCTATGAAAGGTATTGTGGTTCTTATAATCAATACTCTTATATCATAAGTAAATGGAGCCCTGAAAATAATAAATTTATACTAAATGAGAAAGTGCCATTTACTTCTTCCATTAAACTGATTTGATGCGTTAAAATAGCATGGACCCTTCATCAAGTTTCTCTCTCTCTCTCTCTTTGCTCAGTGAGTTTTATATCAAAAGCATGCACATTTCAACAACAATCAATTAACAGCTTAGGTCTTGATAGTTTATGACAAATATCCCTAATTGATAATTCAAACCTTCTACAATTGACGTAAATCCTTTTATAAAATATAAATTAAAGATGGTTTTTCCATGACCTTTAAGTTGTAAACATTCTTAGAAAAAAATAAAATGAGTTTGCTAAACACTGTCATAAGCATATGTCAAAAAAAATAACAGGTGTTCTCAGAGGACTAAAAATAAAACACTTTTCAAAAATACTTCATATTATGAAATGTCACAAAAGACACAATAACAAACAGTTTCATACTGCAGACAGTATATTATTTAGCTTATTTAAGGACATACATGGAATAAATTTGAAATTTATTATCTTCTTTCTGTTATAAAAGAATTCCAATAATTGTGTCTGACTCCTATTTCTCAGGTTCCTAAGATGTTATACCCTTCCTCTAAATCAAATATGAGGAAAGTGAAGTGAAAAAAATTAGTTTTGTAAAATTGTATTTTCATTAGAATTTTTATAATGATTCATTCAATATAATTATGCTGTTTTTAGTTCTAAGAACTTTTCATTACATTACACAGAGGCAAGGTTGCATATGACCCCATTTTTTAAAATTATATTTCTGCTTAATATTATATACAACAAAAAGCCTTTTGTTTAATTACCCATTTTTAAAAGAAGTTTGCCAGAGGACAACCAAAAAACAACACAAAAGCTTTTAATGAAATTCAAAGGCACATGTAGTTTCAAATAAAGAAATTATGATTTGGTTGTTTAAAATTTAGGCATTTTATTTGAGAGACTGCATAATGAATAAAATTTAAACAAAAATGTTTGAAGGTGATATTAAATTTTAAATGATTATTTAACCACAATTCATTACTGATTGTTACATGAATGCCCTTTACATAAAAATCTGATTTGATAACAGAATGATTACATAACACTAATTCCAGACAAATAATACTTACAGAAGAAGTTTCAGAAGTCATAAAATACCAGAAATAAACACACTACAGTCTATAGACAAAACAATCAAGAAATCCTGTCACTATTCCGTACAATTAAAGCAACATTCAGGCAATATCAGAAAGCTGGCTTTAACTTGGCTGTGGGTAGCAACAGCGCATACAGCCCAATTAAAGACTCGAGTGTGAAAGCCTTTGTTTAAAACATGGATTAAAAATAAAATTAGTTACAAATTCACGACATAATAGTCTAATAATATTATGGGACATTATATGGATTGCATTTTTAATCTTCAAACAAAGAGGCTATTAACTGATTTTTTTCTGTGTTTGGACCATATGTGACCTGTATTCTGGTTTCTTTACACAGACAGGGTAAAAAGTTCCACCAAAAATGAGATTAATAATTAGTAAAGCATAGTCTGTCACTGCAGAACAGGCCCTGGGAGACTTAAGGCTCACAAATTCATTTAAATTGACTTAGATCTTTATATAAAGACTCACTTTCTGAGTTCTGTGAAGAAGTTACAGAATTTACCAAATGACTTACATGATAACTTTTTTAACTTCATTGACACAGGAGTTCAAACAAATTAACAAAAATCACATTTTAAAAAAACCCAAATTCTGTGACAGACAGGATCTTATGTTTTTTTTTCTGCCCTGGATTTTAATACCTCTCTAAACACCAGTCCCCCTATGCCACTTCTTTTGAGGGCCGAGTGAAGGTCCCTTCTGGATACAGTAAAATTAATGTCTGCCATAGGGATTAACAGAGTTGTCAGCTATTCTAGCATCACAGATCACTGATTTTAAAATCAAACCTATATTATCTTCTTTCTCATCATTTTTTTTTTATCCATCACATGTATACATGGGCCATGTGTGGCAACACAATAATAAAAATCTGCATTGCTTTTTAAAGTTAATCTTCCTTTTGGATGAGAATCACATGTCGCTTTCCACGTTAACTCCAAGCACTGTCTAATCAATTTGTTGCAGTATTTAAAAGTGTATAAAAGCTGTAATTTAAACTAATATCTTCCTGACTTATTGTCAGTTGAAAGGTTTAGGCCACTTTACATGGGTAAAATTTTTCCACAAGACAGTGTGAAAAGTTACTGAATTGATACACTAAAAGACCACAATCGGTCCATAGAAATGGTAAGCCAGCTCAATGACAAATAATCCATTGGAACTATGCAGAAATCAAAACAAACTGATCAAATATTAATTATTCGGTCAAATGTTCATTCCTTCTAGCAGTGAAGAAAAATTCAATAGATCCTGCAATAATTAAGGCCATTAAACATTCTGGTCAGCCAGACAGAATTGCAGCTTTACACTTATAAAGCCACGACTTTACGACAATCCACAATTATTGTTTGATTAATTGATACTTCAGTTATCCAGTGGCACTCTGAACACAACACTTATGATTTTTACCCCACACTGATATGCTCCCAAATCCAAAAGAATTTCAATGTTCAGTTACACTCTGGGATTAAAAATGCATGTGTCTAAATATTCCTGGTACTGGAACAAATATAATCTAAACAGACCAATGTGTCGCACTGGTGGAAAACTTGACCAAACAATTGATTCCATCACACAAAAGACTGGGTATCATATTTTATCTTTAAACCTTATAAAACTTAATGCATATATACTTTAAATAAACATAGAACAATTTATACAAGGAATTAATTAAAGTGCCCGAGGAAGTCTTAAGCAATGGAGAATTCCCTTACACCTGCGAACAAATGTGCCACGTAATTCTGATATACAAAGTGTGAACTAAGTCATCAAATTACTCCGATCAAAAATTAACAAAATCAGAAAAATGCTACTTTGTCCCTTGTTTTTTACAATACCCAGTGCAAAATAGGGGTATAATGTGATCTTTTATTTGTATATTCCAATATATTTATTTTGTATATACAATTAACTTTGAAATTTATATGAAGATTAAAAATAATGGCTGATAGCTACATAGGTATAAGACATTTGATCTGGCTGGCTTTTCTGGTGTAATAGAAGAGATATTTAATAAACACAATTTAACTTTACAAATATTGTCACATTACCATATTTAACACTTAATGGTTAATAACAGGATTAAAACTGTGTTAGTCTAAATAAGAAGTCTTTGATGAGACTGTAGCTCCTCTGGTTTGTACTTATACTAAATGAGGACTTCATGAAAAAAGAAACTGGTTTGACTTTTTTGGGGGGACATTTCTTGATGTTTTCTTAACTTGTACCAATTAAGTTTTCTCAAAATCAAATCAAATATATTTTTAACAGATCTTCACAGATTCTTTAAAGCTAATTGGCAATATCAACTGGAAGAATTAAATGTGTCTCAATACAGATTTGTGTACCAGGTTTTATTGAAATCTGATAAAAGCTATTTTAATTAGTGATGCAGTATTTGGGGGAAAAAAATACACGTGGCTCTATATTTTTTAACCAATGCAACATTGTTCATCAATTTTTTGTGTAACCATGATGACAACACAATTCATTGAAATTAAAAGTCAATTCACAGAAAATTATGCGAAAGATTAGGCGTTAATTAATTGTACCAAAGTTAAATTTGAATTGGACAAAAATTTTAAAAAGGGTTTGGCATTTTGAAAATATTTTCATTGTAGAAATATCTTATTTTTAGCAACCATGGCAACACTGTTTGTCAAAACTGAAAAGAAGGATTTAATTTGTATCTATAAATTTATTATACTTATGACTTTTTTAAAATTGAAATTGGACCAAAACCATAGGAGGAATTATAGCATAGAAAAATTGTTTATAGATATTAGATAAATAGACACTTTAGGATAAACTTATCTCCTCTTAAACCAGCAGAGGTAAAAATGCAAATATTTCCTATTAATGCCATTTACTAGTAATCATCCCCACCCTACCCCTCCAAAAAAAAAAAACAAACAAACACACTAACAAAAAATTCTGAAAAAAAGATAAAAGTCTTGTATGCAACTGAGCTTTAATTCTTGCTAAAGTTCTAGTAAGTCTGCAACCTTCAAGCTGGCCTCCAACTTAACACTGGAAAAAATGGCTGATACCAAAGGACATCCATAATAACTTTTCCTGTAAATACATTTCTTTTATTGACAGTTTATTTTTGAAGTTTCATGATTGTTGTCATCAAACTTTTGACCTATTTGATGCAGAAATAAAAATTCCCTCACTACATGTAATCTAAAACAAGTGCAAGAACTATGGTTCAACATACCAAGGCTGAGTGCCAATTAAGCATTGTAAAGGAACTGTTGGTTTGAACTAAATACTAGTATGATCCATATTCACCTGTTATCATTTTGAACACGCCCATATAAAGAAGCCCATGGGTCGCAATGCTCACATGAAACTATCAAATTCAAATTTGGTGAATTTTTCTTCATTTAAAATTTGTGCTTGCATTGTAAATGAATTTTCAGCATTTTCAGAGCAACCCAAAACTCAAGATCTTTTGGAAGCTGAGTTAATGCACAGTAAAACATGCTTAGTGCCAGGAAGGAAGAATTTTGCTTCATTTTGATAAATGTGATTAATTTATTTCTTAAGATACATCCGCTAAGTTCATAATACTAATTTAAAACTAAAGGAAATGAAAATCCGCTATAAGTGCAAATGTTTGCTACAACTGTGTTTTACTGTATTTGCATGAGCTTGGTTTAATATCTTCTCAGTCAAACAATTAACTGCTCTA